AAATGATGAAGAACGGAGTAGTATAATTATTTTTGGGTTTATGAGTTGTTCAAAACTGTCCGTATTACAAAACCAGTGCTTTCATTTTCTAGCATTTTAGAAAAAGAAGCAGGCAGACATAAAAAATGCTCAAATGTTTCCACTGTCTTCACTCTGTATATATGTATATAGGTATACACACACAACTACAAACATCTATGGTTTTTAAATTGAACACTGAATGCTTTCAGAGCATAAGTTGTCTCTCCATGCCTCAAGAAAAGAAAAATGCAATTTCCTTATTCTGCATTTCCTTACATAATGCTCTTCTGGGACAGCACTTCTGCAATAACCGAATCACCACTATTTAGCTATGGATACCTGAATCTCATATTTTTATTCTAAATTCAAGTTCACTCATCATATCTAATGCCCTTGAAGCAATCTCAAATTACTGCTATTACACGGGTCACTAGAAACCAGAAGTACTAATACAAATTTTAAAAAGAGAAAGGAAGAAGCCCTCACATAATTAGAGGATGGCGAACAGTTTCATCAATTTAATTTTATCACCTAATCCAGCCCTTCCTCTGGAGCTGTGGGCGAGCGAGGCAAGCGGTGAGCACGGATGCTCGGCTGTGATGCAGGAGTAAGTCCCCAGCAGCCAGGATGAGACCCGCCAGCTACTCTGCCGCCGCGGGGGCTGAGAGCCACGGGCCTCCCACCTTCATCCTTGGCCCATCTTTGTATTTCATTAGCTTTGCACGGAATTCCATTTCACAACAAGCCTGTGTCTGCAGTCCATCTGCTCTACTTATCCTGTTCCTTTTGCCAACTTTTTATCTGCATTTCCCCACGTTCTGCAACCGGCCACTCCTACCTCCTCATGATTCATCAGCTTACTTCTGCAGAGATTTACCCGTGTGTTAGCTTCCAAAATTCACCCTCAATTTTCTAAAACTCTGTGTAACTGATCTCCCTGGAACAGTACGTGAAATTCAAGCATTAACTTAGTTTGCCATCAAATGCCTCAAAAAGATAGGTGGTGTGTTGATGCTGAATTCAAGGGGACCGAGTTACCAAATGATTGTTTCTACAGCATTTAAAATAGTTCTCCAAAGTTCCCTCCCTTTCTCTGTTTTAATGACTGACGCACTTCACTTAAAACCTTGTCTTCCTGTTTACCTCCTGGAACCAACTGAATTAGTATCAGTACCCAATCCATTTCCTAATATGTTTGTATTGAAAGAGCAATCTTTTTTTATTTCCAGAAATTTCAGTCATTTTATACATTGTATATACTCATGGGTCAAATGTTAAAAACATTTTATTCACAAAATTCATTTCACGCCAACACACAGCTTCTTTTTGGAAAACTACTCTCACCAAAGAAAGATCAAGAGAAACAAAAGAGAATACATATACTATTTTAAAAATTAAAAATACACCTATGAAATTCCTCAGGCATATTACCCTGGAGGTATCCAACGGTCCAGAGATTAACTGATAAAAATTTAAGTGACTTACCTTTATATACTACACTATTTTGATGATGCTGCCTCTTGTGCTACCTGCTTGAGTTGATACTAATTTAAGAACCCTTCAACCTTTGCCTTTATTATTTAGGGTTAAAATATATACCTTTTACAATATTCACACATTCAATTCTTTTGTAATACAGGCAGACATTTCTCTAATACAACCACATAACAGACGTGGTTGTGTGCAATCACCCCACATAATTTCACCCAGAACTGTAAAGCAGAGCACAGTCTCCTAGAATTCTCCGAGAGAAATGAGCTAAGTGGGTATTTTGTGTGGGCAGGCAGCAGTCAACTCTCCTAAACTACAAGAGCTGCCAGGGTTTTCTGAAAGTCTTTGCATGAAATAGAAGCAGAATAAACTGACGGGTCTCACATGTTACAGGGGAGGTGAACACTCCGTAACCACATGTGTAAAAAAAAAACAACCCTGTCCTTTTCACAGATTTTTTTTAACTGCCTGTTTTTTTCCCATAAAAACGTCAAAATTTGACATTTCTTGTTTGTACAGAAAACGTAAAACATTTATAAATAATTTCTAAGGTAAAGTCCCAACTAAAAAATAACACATGGAGAGAAATGGACAGCACTGGGTCCTAATAAAATAACAAGAGGATTGGTGGGTGGGGAGGTTTGCTCAGTATCCTTTTGAAAGTTTTTCTGAGAGACAAATGCAGGTCTCGGCTAGGTAATACCCAAAGTCATATTCTGTGACTAAGTTTTATTTTTATTTTTACTTTTAACGATATAAACTACTTTCTGTGTGGTATGGTGACTAAAAAATACCTCCTACAGGAAAAAATTGTACTTCCGAGACTCTGGATCATAGTTAATAATAATGGGAGTATGGTATCAATTCTACACTGATACTGTAGCGATAGAGTTTTTATTTCGGAGCCCATAGATTTTGACAATAAAAAGCATAATAAAGAAATCATAACAAAGCCACTTTTAGAGAATACATATAGCAAGCCAATAGCACTTTGGCTGACAGCTCCAGGAAACTAAAAGTTATGATGCAGCTTCAAAATGACTCTTGTTCATTAGAACAGGTGGAAATATACTTGTCATTGGCCAAAAAAATGAACATTTATTTTAATTTATTTATTCACATACAAAAAGAACTCCTTCTTTGTGCTCACAATCAGTGGCTTTAGTTAGTACTAAGTAGAGCCTTACCAAAATTCCTTAACAGCCACCCATGCACGTGTGGATTTTAAATTGTGACAAATATAGAGCTTTATTATTAGATAAGCTTAAAAGCTGAGGCTGTGCTATTCAATTACTGTTATTAAGATTCATGAATATTAGAACATAATTTAAATTCACTATTGTCCTGATAGAAGAGGGGAGAAAAGCATCCGTAATAACTGGGAATTATATACAAACTGATCTATTCCCAGGAAAACGCAAATAAACATTTAAAGTGCTCTGTCATTGCTGTTTTCTTTTCGTTTGACCACACACACTTACACTGTTAACTTTCCCCTAAAAAGTGAATACTTAGCAGTTTGATTTGACTCACAGACCATGATAAGCTGTCGGCAGATGCCATAGGAAATTTCACCCCGCGGATAAATGTACGCATAACAGGAATTAGCACACACATCCTGATTACCCTTTCCCACTTCAGTTTTTGGCTATAAAAATTAAGAGACTTGGTATATTGAAAACAAAGCATATAAATATTTCATATAAAATCTATTCTGAATTGTCATAGTTAAGTTTATAGCCAATGAAGTCCTCCTTCAGATTTTCTTGTCTTCCTTTCCGAAATCAAATGCCTTATAAGCTGGCATGACTGACTTTTAAAGGTACAAAAAATGAATTTGGAGAAAGGCACAAATGTTCATCAGCTTATATGTTCTTTCTATAGGTTTTGCTTTATTGTAAAATATTATTCCATGCTTTTCAATTTTAAGTATACTAAATAAAAAGACTGGAAAATAAGAACTCTTGAAGTACACAAGAGAACGTTTCCTTTTTATCTCTTTTAAAAGTTATATTCATTATTAAATTCTGTGATTTTTTTCAGTATCATTGTCACTTTCTGTTAGCATTATTTTTGGAAGACATTAACAGATCTGTTTCAGAGTGAAATTTTCAGGTAACAAAGTGAATAGCTGGCATTCATTTTAGCAGCTCAAGAGTTAAACTAGAATGACAGAATCACCCCCTTTGACACCGAAGGCTCTGAAACCTTCCTGGGAAGTTGTCGCCTTGCTCCCTGCCACCCTGACATACAAACATAATTAACGACTGTGTGCTATTGGCATTTATGTCTTCAAACCGCCCGGCTAATTTCTATTATTGGAAGAAGTCGGGAAGGACTCGGGGACTGTTTGAGAGCAGTTAGGAAAAGATGGGGCAGAAGTCCTCTTGGGAGAGGACTTACAACTTCAACCACATCTAACTCTGCACGCTCCAGCAGAGAAACCGGAAAATCTGATACATTTTAGTTGTGTCTTTTCAACTGTTCTTTATGGCTCTCTGGTCACTTAAAAAAAAAAAACAACCTTATTTCAAATAATAAGAACTGAACTTTCTCCTGCAGACTCATGATAAGGAGCTGCTGATAACAAGTTCCTCTCTGGGGAAGAGCTGGCAGCCCTGGAAGACTCCTTCCACCCTCCCGTGGAAGGGACACCGGCTAGGATGACATTTCAAGACCGGCCTCCTCCGTGGAGCTGGGCCGGCTGTGCACCAGCCCCTGTGGGAGCCCTAGACTACTGATGGGACTAACTTCAGGTGGATCCTCTCCAAACAGATCGGGAACCAGGCACAGACAGGATGGTGTGTCAGGAGCAACCTGTCATCGGCTGCTTTTTCTCCTTCTCTGGTTTGCAGTTTTTCTCACCTCTAACAAGCTGTAATGCCTGTTTCTCTTTTCATGTATTAATTTCTGCTTATTCCCCCCAGATAAGCCCTGTTTCTCTCTGCAGGTCCCCGTGCTTACAAAACAACGGGTACCACTCTAAATAGAAACTGTCAGCCAACGAAGGGACGCTGTTTCCCGGGTTTGCCCACTCCTTCCTCCAAGACAGTTTGCATGGAAAAGCTGGCACGAGGTCCCGTCCCTCGTTCTTAGGGCTGCTGGCTTAAGAGAGGGTTTCCTTTGGCCCCCGAGCTAACGTTGCCTCTGCGAGGGTCAGAGGCAGTGCCGGTGGCCAGCGGCCAGGGAGTGCGAGTCCAGGGAGGGCCCGTACTCCAGTCAAAGGAACAGCCCCGTCCTCAGCCCCTCTCCTCTGCCTTTTGCTGAGCCCTCTGCTCCGTTGGTTCGCCACCCTCTCTGGGCTTGCGGAAGCCCCGGCATTTACAAAAGGATCTGAACTCCAGAGCCGAGCGCTCTGCTTTGTACCGACCGACATCCCACCAGCATCCTGAAGTGAAGCTGCTGGAAACTGGCAAAGCCCACAGACAAGAGGAGGCGGCGCAGCGCGGAGAGTTCGCGGCAGACGGCGCAGAAAGCCGGCTCCTTACCTTTGCGCTTGGACCTCCTCCTCCTCCTCCGCTTGGACTTGCATTTCAGTTGACTGCTCAGCCCTCCGGACCCTCTGCTGGTCCCCAAGACCGATGCCATGGCTGGGACCCGGTAAGTGGAACAGGGCAGGAATCCTTTCTTAAACAATTTCACCTTTCCTGCTCTTGTCGCCCGCCGCCGCCGTCGCCGGTAAATGCGTCTGCAAATCAGGGAGCAGGTTCACTTTTTAGGACTGAGCACTCAAGCGCTCCCGCCCGCCCTCCTCTCTAATTGTTCTCTGTCACTTGTTTCCAGCTGGGCTGAGAGCCGCGATCTAAGCTCCAGTGCCAAAGCGCTCTAGGGCCGGAGGGACCGCGAAGGAAAGGTGCGCCCGGCCCAGGCCCCCCCTCCTCCTCTTCCCCCTCTTCCTGCCCCGGCAGCCTCTCTTGATCTGGGCTCCAAACGCAGGGCTCTACTTTGGCACCTCTGCTAGTTGTTTGGCACCAGCCACTTTGAAGCCAATCACGCAGGGAGCTTGTCTATTTGCTGCTGCAAAGTCTAATTAGATCCAATCACAACTGTCTGCTGGCTCTGACATCAGCACCACCAGCCCTGTGCATGCCCTGTCAGCTTGCAAACTCAGCTCCCATTTGGACGGATGGAGCTGCCCAGGACCCGTGGAGAGGGAAGGAGATTGCACAGGAGGGAGGGAACAGGCAGGCTGAGCCAGCTTCTCAGGGAGAAGCCTGAGGGGCAGCTTGCAGAGGAATCTACCCCAGATCCAGGCTTCCTGCTCAGACCAAAGGGACAGGGCATTACCCCTCTGTGCGCTCAGAAAGATGCAGAGACTGTATCTCCAGCCAAACAGTTTTTAACTAGTGAATCCGTTATAATGCTTGTGCGTCAAGGGGAAAGTCTCTCTCTAAGAAATACCAAGCTCTCACTTCCTCAGAAAGGGGCTAAGGTTTGCAGTTCCCCGGGAGACAGCCTCTTAGGGGTATTCATTTCTCAGAAACTGCATGTTTGTCTGTTTGCTTGTTTTGCTTCTTCCTTCATATCCCTTGGCTGTTACCTCTGCACAAGAGAAATACTGCATAAAGACGTAGGTGTTCGGATCTGAGTCTGATTTTTAAAGCCAGGGATTTCAGTAGGTTGCTCTATTTAGGGAACAATGAAATGAAAGGCAGAGAGGGCTTTCATCTAATAGTTTTATTGCCAAATGTAACATTCGGAAGAAGGTAATATTTACAAGGAGATGGATTGCAAATTGAACTAGTTTTGAACAGTTTTTTCAGGGTTATCCTATTTTTTCAAGACTATGCTTATGCAACCTTAAACATCTAAAGTAAAATATAAAAAGGAAAGTAATCCAGCCATCGTCATTGCATTCTGCATTTAAATCACATAAGCTATTAATTATAGTAGTAACGGTTTGGGAAAAAATCCACTCTAAAAGTCATTAGCATTAACACGATGATGTGAAAATGGCACACAAATACTTCTATTTCCTACTTTACATACACCATTTTCAAGCTCCTTATGGACCTAGAAATTTCCAGATAATTTTCTATGAGGTAACAATACTCTCTCTAAGGAACGCTGGAAGCAATCAGGATGTTGGGATATGTTGCTATGTGGTGAGCTGCTGGATCCTGGCTCAGTTCTCACTGAAGAGAGGGAGAGAGGAGGGCATCTGATTTCAAATCCTAACCCCACTGCTCTGACTTTGGGCAAGTGATGTAAACTATGCCTCAGTTTCCTCATCTGTGAAATGGGGGTAATCACAAAGCTGCCTCTCAGGTTCATTCATCCTTGAGAATCAGTATAAACAGTGACTGGTGCATACTAATCACTTTATGATTATTTAGTAAATCAATCCAATAAATAATTTTGAAAGAATGAGCACATTATTACACGTCGGGCTCAGAAAGCAGGGGCTTGTGTATTTTCCATTTAGGAGTTTAACTGTCTGGCTCATTTCAGGCTGATAAATGCAGTCACACCAGGGTCCCTCTATGTGCCAGGTTCAGCCATTTCCTTCCACCGACAACACAGCTCAATGCTGCTGCTAATTTCTAGAGAATGCTGGAAAAGCGCACTGCCCGCCTACTTACTCTCTGTGGCATGAAAGGTATTGGAGAGCATCAACTGTTATCTGGAAACACAGTTGTAGGACTCCCCCTGTGGAACCTCTGAGCTTCCACAATACACCTGTACTAACCCAGAGTTTCCCTATATAGGCTTTTGCCAAAGACCAGTCCCTGAGTTCAGAAGCCAAGGGAAAATGCTTTGGGCAGAAATACAAACAGCTGCACCTTCCAGCCTGTCTGCATTGATCAGGGCCCCCTCGCATCCCATCATGAAAGATGCTGCCTACGAGGCCCTGGTGTACTGAATCCCCTTTGTTGGAGAGTGGGTGTGGTTATCGGAGGATCCAGCTTCCAACCTTGGGGAGGGGGCTGGTCAAGGCAGCAAAATCTAAAACTAGACTTCAACACTTAGTTTAAATCCTGATTTGAAACTTGGTCAAGATCAAAATCTTGGCTAATCTTTACCTTTCTTAAAGTTCCCTCCAATTTGGTTATTTTGGGGGTATAATTTATGCAAACGTTATTTTTGCATAGATAGGTGCTATTTTCTGTTTTTTATTTATCTTGCATAAGATCATGCATAATAGGTAGGGCAGGGCACACTAAGGCCCAGCAGCAGCAATGAAGTTGTAAAGTTGTATCTCCTTGGAGGAAAGGCTTTTGAACAAGAGGCTCAGGATCACACACTTTTTGACGCAGGACGGCAGGAAGTGATCAGTGCTCACAGGCTTCCTATGAGCCTTTTTTGCCTTCTATCTGTTTCTAGATCACTTCAGCACAGCTTGGCAGCTTAAAACGCTGCACAGAAGTTGGAAGAGGATCAGGCGCCCAAGTCACCCTACTGGCCATCAGGAGATGTTGCTGGTGTGTGTCTTCAGCCCGTCTGAGCCAGAACAGAGAGCTGGGAGTGGGGGGCCTCAGCAGGCTGGGGGCTGCCCAGACAGTCACATGTGACCCACATGTATCTGTGCGGGGGAGCTGGACAAGGACAGAAGGGAGGGCTGGCAGAGCCTGGAGGGAAGCGGTATCCTCATGCGACACTGCCTTTGTGCTGAGGAAGGTGTGGCTTCAGTCAAGGCTGGATGGGGTCCCCGTGGGCTGTTCCCAGCACCCCAGGATTTCCATCCTGGGTCTTATCAGGACTGTAATTGCATAGCTGTTCCGGGTGGTGGTTTTGTTCGTTCCTCACATGTCTCTCCCTCCTTAGGCCCTACGAGCTGTGAGGGGACCCCCATGCCGGGTCTGTGGTCCAAGCACACGTGGGGGACATGGAGCCAGCCCAGATCGGATCTGCCCCTGGTTCAAGATACGTTACTGAGTTTATACTGAGTCTGGTTAGATTTTCTCAAATCCTCCTTTTACCCAGGAGGAAGCTGAGGCTCAGAAAATTTAGGAAATTTGCCCAAATTAACCGAGGTTAGGAGGAGGCTCTCAATGGGATCATTCCAACTGTGATTTTTACCACTTTCCTCTGCTCATTTTTACGCTAGAGTTGGAGACCCAGTAACTTTGTGAACTTCTGTAAGCCTTCTTGGAGAGAGCTGAAAATATGTTAAATAGTGATTCTGAGCTTCAGTGAGCGTATGTGTGTGTGATTTATAAATACAGAAATAACTCAGCTCTCTCTATATATACGTGTATCGTTACATCTGTATCTGGACACCTCTTTCTAGATGGGCATCCAGACACAGATGTGCACGGTGTGAGTGAGGAGCCGGTGGCACTGGGACATCCACTGGTGCCGAGTACAGCCGCAGGGACCTGTGAGTGTGCTGATGGCTCTCAAGGGCCCTGTTTACCTTTCCTTCTCAGAACAAACCTGGGGTATGGACATGGAAGACCTTATCATCCTAGTGTCCCCCTGAGGTCATGGAGGCTCAGCGTGCGGCAGAGTCTAGGCCAGTGTTATATCACTAGACAGAGGCAGACCCAAGACGTCTAGAACATTCCAATGTATTCCAGGAAGAACACAGATCAGAAAACTCACACTCACACGGACAATCTGACTTTCCATTTCTGCAGGAGAGGAACCTGAGGCCTGCGCCAGGACACAGGGTCACAGTAACTGCACCTTCTCACCTAAAGGCAAGTCCCCTTTCCCTTCCTGTGTGTCCCTGCTAGACTCCTGGACTCAGCATCTGTGGTTGATACCAACGTACGACTTCTCTCCTTAATACATCACAACGTCTGCATTTCCAGTCAGTTAAAAGTATTGTTAACTTGGTTTCTTACAGATTTCCAAAAACAAATAACTCCCACAGAAACAAACTGGACTTATTTAGAATCCAAATTTCAGTTAATCTTCCCTCCCCCATCAGACAATTTCCCCCAGGTGGAAAATAGCAGGACAAAGTGTTACCTGGAGGGATCTATGTTTGCTGACTCACAACATCGTCATCTACGACACTAAATCATTCCTTTTCACAAACAGAGAAATAGCATAAGAGGGCTTTTTTACTCTTTCATCTTCAGCCATTGTTCTTCAATTTAAATAACTCACATTAAAGAAGTTGGGCATGAGACCTGCAAGTACTAGGAAAGAACACATCCGGATGACTTGCTGTGACTTATTCTTATTCTCATTCAAGGTGTGGAAGCAACCTGGCAAGAAGGGGAGGGGTGTGGAGAGGTCTGGGCACAGAAGAGAGCTCTGAATGTGAGAATGCTCTTTATACAATGTTGCTACTAGAATTATCATTTCCTTTGTTCTTTTTCTCCTCCCAGGCATGCCTGTGGTTTGAGAGAACACCAAATGCATTCTTTTCAATTTCCTGAAGAAACCTGGTATACAGCAGATTTGCAAAGATACTTTTTCAGAGTTCCATGTGCTGCTGATTATTTCTATGTGAGCTCCTAGATCAAATAATTTTGGCATACAGAGTTTTCTTTCTTGGTCAATATCACAAATTTTAATTTACCAAATTATATCTTCCAGCTAAAACTCACCTGAGTTCTGTATTAATGTTTAAAGGATACTTGGAAAATACTGGTAAAGAGAAAAAAAGATCCTAAATTTGCTACCACCAGACCAGACTTCACGTTCTACTTATCTGTGCACTATGCCTACTTCTGGAAAAGGCATTTAACCCTCCTGAGCCTCTTCTGTCAAATGAGGGGAAATGACACCGCAGAG